CCCCAGCCGAAACCAGGGAAATGAAATAAGTCAGAGCTTTATAACTATGGCCCTGGGTATGGAGAAGCCGATTTCAAATGCCTCTTCTGCTAACTGAGAGCAGAAACTTGGGGCCAGATCTACTACAGCAAGGGACTGTATCCCCCAGAAAAGGCTCCCATTTAATCTTGGACGGATCTACAAGCTGCCGCAGACGCCCGTGGTCAATACACCGAGCTCGCCCCACCAGCCCAGGACCGGCAGGAGTCAGGACTCAGGCTACAGCCATCACACCGCCAGCTAAGTCTGAAGCAGAGCTTGAGTTTTTCTTCTCCTTTCTAGAGAAGATACCCTCTGCAAGACGAAGTTTGGTGGCTCCCAGCAAGGCCTGGCTCAGCTCACTCTGACCCTGCGGGGACGCTGGAGGTGGCCTGCAAGAGCCATGGGCTCAGCCGTTCCCGTGCCACCTCCCGCGGTACTCACTCTGTGCAGACAGCTTTTGAAGCTTTACTCTTGGGCTGGCCAGACCAGAACTCCACTCTGTCTTTCAGTTCTTTATTCTGCAAGGAAAAAAAATTAAAAAATAAATAAACCAAACCCTTCTCAGCATAACGTAGCAGACAAGAGGCAAGCCTGGATGCCAGCTAGGACCTGCTGCTCCTCCAGAAAGGTTTTTGGGGGTCTTGTTGGGGGGGGGTATTTGTTGTGTTTGGGTTTTTTTTAAAACCAAGTGAAAGATGCAGTGCAAAGAAACACCACCCCAACAACGTCGCAAGCCCGGCAGCGTGACGGGCCCCCTGACCGTAGAGAACTACTTTTGCTCTCTCCCTTCACATAGCTTTTGACTTCCCAGCCTTACCTGCACTTCCAGCGCAGTCAGTTTCTCTCTCAGGTTTTCTATTTTTTTATCTTGGCTTCTGAGGTTGTTTTTCAGTTTCTCTGCCTGAGAGTTAGGAAATAAAGTTTGTCAAGAGATTTGAAACCTTAACACATCAAAGACATCTCTGTGTTGAACAAAACCACAGAGGTAAACGTCTCGCCGTACCAGGGGAATCGCAGACCATTCAAGTCCCTAGTCTTTTACCATAGAAGTCAAACTAATTGATTAAATGATTTATAAAAAAAAAAATTTCTCAACACACAGTGTCGCATTTTCCTTAGGATAACAAGTCTGCCTCTTGTTGGCATGTGTACAGAAACCTGATTACGAAAGCCAATTAGCGCGGGGCCTTGCCTTAGCTGGCTGGGAAAAGGCAAGCATGCGTTCCACGAGGCGAGGGGAGTTCATACGTACAAAAGCAGCCGGTAAGTAAACCAGCTGATGTCGTATCGTGCCTTTGGGAAGCAGGCTGATTGCTTTGAATTGTGTTGTAGTCTTTCTAGGATGTCGGCCTGTTGGCTTTGCTCATGGGAGCAGCTTCACTGACTTTGTGTGAAGCCAGCTGCGGGGTGGGCACCTCAGGCAGAGCATCCCCGGGTCAGGCAGGTCCCCCTCGGGAGCACGGCATGGAGCGGGGAGCCACGTTCCCCCTGGGAACGCTCTAGGAGAACTCAGGGGTCTGCCTGAAATCGCTGACTCCACCACAATAATCCCATTTTTACAGTGATGCTATTTCCATCTTAACACTGAAATCATAAAATCATAGAATCGTTTAGGTTGGAAAAGACCTTTAAGGTCATCAAGACCAACCATGAGCCTACCTTTAAGGTCATCAAGTCCAACCATGAGCCTAACACTACCAAGTCCACCACTAAACAACTTAACGGTAGAGTCATAATTAATTTCATGTTTCCTGCCTTGGTGGCTGGATTATTTTTTACAGAAAGTAAAACTAGGAATCACTAAAGTTGGAAAGGAGCTCTAATGCGTGTGGGGGTCTGAATGCGGGGTGCACAAAACCAGGCACAGCGTGACAAGCTGCTTGTCCCCAGCGCACGTGCTGAAGGCAAGAGCCCAGAGCCATCTCCCGTTTCTTTTCCCGACCTCTGAAGACCTGCCCGGTGGGATGGCCGCACCAGCCTGACCTCCTGAATCACGCCGTGCAGGCCGTGGTGCTGCGCCTGAATCACGCGCTGCAGGTGGCAGATCTGCTCCTGCAAGGTGGAAATCTGCTTCTGGAGATCCAGGCACCTGCGGACGAGAGCAGAAGCACCCCGCGTTCAATCCCTAGGGACCGCTGACCCGCCCAGCCGCGCCTGAGCTGACCCCGAGGTGGGAAGGCTTGTTGCTAGCGAGGATGTTCTTGAGGATACACAGAACTACACGTATAAAGGCTTTTTCATCAAGCAGAACAAATAAAGCCATAGTCTGAGACATATTTTTCCTGATAGGACCACCCTTACTAGCTGTTGATAAGTAAATTCATAAATAATGAAGGCTTTTGCCTTACCTACTGCCTGCACAATGCCACCAAAGCAGCATCGACTCCACGCGAGAATCAGGAAAGGGAAGCAACTCGTGCATGCAAGGTGGAAGGAAAAGTACTAGGAATTTGGGCAGAATCAATATCTAAGAGCTGCAGGACATCAAGGTCTGTCTTGGCTTCTTCAAGCAATCACAGTAAATCAGGTTTTGAACCAGTTGCTTTCAATCATGAATAATTTTAACTACCAGAAGGAACTTGAGCAAGCGATATCTGGCATTCTATGTGACATAATCCCCCAGAAAGAAAGAAAACCACTTTATCACATGCATTTAATCACCGTTTGCTGTCTTCGGTCCTCGACATCATCTGTTGAAGCATCTTTTCAAGTGCCATTTTCTTCTCTATCAGAGTTTTCTTTTCCTAAGGAAACGGTTCAAGCTATGTAAAAACTGCATTGCATTTACTGTCGTTCAGTTAGCAAGAGAAGTTTGGCTGGACCTTTAACGGTTCCGCTCAGTGTCTGAAAACAGAATTCAGCCATACCCACCCACATCAACCTGCGTCAAGATCCAAACCAGTCTGACCTCTTTGCATCAAATCTGGAAGGGATGACAGTACTGATTTATCATGAGAAAAGTCCAAACTCTCTTAAAATAGCAGTTCTCTAGTTAATTAGCAAAATCCTTAGGTCTTGCGAGAGTCCATGCTCAGCGGCCACGGGATACTGTGTTACTGCTACGTCCACCTCTCAAACCTTGTCCACAGAGGGAACAATCTCAACAAAACTGATGACGAAACCCCTTAGTATCAGAACGATTACCTGCATGTGATGGGGGTGGCAACACCCTCACTGACCCCGTGCTTACAGCAATCCCAGGATAGGGAAAACTTAGTTTTAGAATGGCACTTCTATGGGAGTAATTCCCACTGCTACTGAGCGCGTACATCAGAAAAATGATGCACGGTGCCCTCGCTTCTTCCAACGCAATTAACACCGCCAAAAGAAAAGTCACAATAAAGGAGAAGAAATTTTCTGCAAGTTTTGGTGCACGCGGTTGTCAGATTGCTGCAGCAGTCATTTGCCTGCCCAGGATTTCGGGTACTGACGGTCAATTTTTCTGAGAGTCAAGAAGGAGCAGTGCTAGTTTTTAGTTTTTAGTGCTAGGATGGCTACATTTTCATTTCAAAAGCTAGAAGTACACCGATGGGGGGAGGTGACAGAGCAACTATTCAGGAGCAGAAATCATCAATAGCTACACATTCAGGCTTCTCCCTGATGCTCTACAGTTTTTAAGCAAGTTCTGAAATAACTGAAAGAGGGAGCTCCAATTGTACGGTTTATTTATAGTTACAGCTAAAGGTTCTTAATTTGGTGTAACACGGCAGACGCCTTTTTAGCCCCAATTCCAACAGCTAACAAGCCCCAAACCCTGAAAGCAATTAACTCCTCTTCCCAAGCGCCCGCACTCCCAGGGCAGGTTCCTCGCCTGCGCCGACTCCCGGTGCCAGGATGGATGGACAGACGCGAGGAGCGGCCGGACGTACCTCCTCCATCCTTTGCACGCGCTTCTCCATCTCTGCGATGCGGGTACATTTTTCCCTGACGCCTTCGGCGAGGCGGGTGACGTCTTCTGCGCTTTGCTGGAGCTTCTCTTCTTGTTGGAGATTGTAGGCCTGGGGCCAAGAAGGGCGTTAGCGCGGGCGTGCGGGGAGCTGGTGAACGCAGCGGATGGACAGCGGTGGGGCTCAAGGAATTCTGAGCAACTCTACCAACCCAATCCCGAGAATCAGGGATAAAACCAAAATAATTTTTCTTATTCATTTTCCTATTTAACTTCCCCACGGCGCTAGCAGAAGAGACTCAGTAGCTCTTGGGTGGAAGTTTGCAGCACAGAGAGCCAGAGCCCACGTAAATACTTTGATAGCCAACAGGACGGTCATGCCCACACGTGGGAGAGATGTGTACCTGCATTTGCTGCTTCTCATTCTCATGGCTCTTCTTCAGTTCTTCGGACCGAGTCTGGTAATTCTCATAGAGTTTCTGGGAGGCAGATCTGAGAGCCTGTACACCTGCTTCTCTCGTGGCTTCCAGCTAGAAAGAGTAAATGTACGACGCATATATATTCCCCTTTAAAAACGTGATGTTACAATCACATGCCAAAAAATAAGCCCTCTATACCAGATCAAATTTCAGCATTTACCCTTGTTAAAAAAAAAAAACAAAAAACAACCCAAAAAAACCCCACGAGAAAGGAATCCTAAACACCTGTGGGCAACATCTGACAGGCATTTTAGCTTCCAAATAAAGGCAGATTTATTCAGCATTGAGCCATCCTCCCATGACAAAGGCTGACGGTTTAAAAGCAGAGATGCATTTCCAGCGGCTCGTAAATACATCTGCTGTCACCTACCGACAGAGCTGACTGCGCTGTCTCACTAGCCACACACGGGCTGTGTCCCCAGCAGCAGCTTTCGACATGAATTTCATTGCCTGCTGGAATGCAAGAGTTTGCAGCAGGCGGGAAGCGGAGCAGGGTCTGCCCCTTCCCTGAAGAAAAGGCTCCGGCGCGGGATCGCTGAGCCGGCACCGTGCTGCAGCAGCCGGGACCCAACTCCAACTGGGCTACAAAGCACACATCTTCATCTGCAACCTTAAAAAATAAAAAAACCAAAAAATACCCCAAACGCACCTTGATCTTCAGCACCTGGTTTTCCCTGCTCACCAGCAGCAGCTGCTCTTCTGTTTCCTTCACCGTCCTTGCGACAGGACTGCAGCTCCAGCTCCAGCCGCTCTTCTGCGGCTCCGCTTTATTGCCCGAGACTTGAGGAAGCTGCTAAAGGAAATGCACGTGGAAAAAAAAAAAAAAAAAAAAAAGAAAACCAGCTTGAGCAATCAATCTGACTCTAAAAGACCTGGAGTCTTATCAACACCCCTCTCCGGCTCGCAGGGAGCACGGGGCAGACGACAGGCAGCTCTCCGGAGAGCCGGCTCCGAGCCGCTCACAGCTCCTCCACCTCCACGAATTAACTGAAATTAAAATGTTCTCCTCGTTCAGCTCTCCAGGGCTTTACATTGGAAAGCATTTGCGTGTCGATTCTGATAAATAGCTCTCCTCCACTCTCCGCAGTGTAATTGCACGGGTGTAAGATTAATTAGCTTTTACAATATTGCAGCATATGTTGCGAGGCTGCATAAATGCACGTGAGTAAACATCGTCCAGCACTTCCCCTTACAAGAACTACTTACTCCAGCATTTTAATTGTTTGAACACAACATTTCCAAATCTGTTTGCTTCCTAGGGGCTGCCTCTTTGTTCAAAACCACTTGCTTAAAGTGGTTTTAAGTTGCTTAACCCACTTTTTTCCCCTACAGGTGTTCACAAACACGTGCCCGGCGCTTGCCTCCTGTCTGTTTTGAGAGCTGGTGTGTGGAAGGAACACGACCTGCAATCGGTCAGATTTACGCCAGAAGGCACCGGCATTTATACGGCCTTTCTAATATTACGCCAAGTCCATTTGTTAAAAATAAACTACTACAAACAAAGGGCAGTCTGTACTTTTTTAAAGGGTTTAAACCATAAATCACTTTCTTTTCACTACAGAGGCTTTTCCTCGACCTCATTCCTCAACTGAGCAGAGAAAGGAGTAAGCATTTTTTAAAAAGAACTTTTTGTGATTGATTATTTCTTAATTAGCCGTGCTTCAGCCCACTGACCCTTCCTCTCCCTCATCCCACAGTGCTCTACTGGGCTCAGCTGGGATGCAGAGACTGCCTTTGCGTATTCTCATCACCGTGCTCTGCTGCTTAGAGCAGAGAAATAAGATATCAGATCTACTAAGGGGAGTCTCATTGCTCACAAGATCTCTGATTTAAAAAAAAAAAAAACAAACACAACAGGGCATGTCCCACCTGTTCACGGTGGTGTCAGCATCAAGCCGTGCACCGCTTCCCAGGCCCTGCACGAGCTGGTGAATATCATTTTTTTCTCCAAAAATGCTTTGTGTAAATGAGTTTGGATTATGAGCTGCTTAAGAATTCATCACAAAATTTTCAAAGTTACAGTGCTATTCTGCAACTTCATACATTTAATTGTAAAGGGAATGAAGAAATCTTTATTAACTTAAAGCAAAAGTCTGAGGTCTTCTCTCCTGTCATTACACACACTAAAGGCATTCATTAAACTCCGTTCTTCCTGCATTTCCGCTGGCATTCAGGAAAGGAACAACTCGAGACTATTTCACACATCCCAAACTACCCTATGCTCTGCTCTCCAAGGCGCGCTTGGTTTTGCTGACCGACACCTCCAGGATCTGCCTGTCCCACGGGTCATCCTCCTCCTCCCGAGATGCTGGTCCCCCATGTCCCCCAGACCAATATTTCTGCTTGAGATGAGGCTGCTCGCTGCTCCAGAGCTTCCTCCTCTCTCCCAGGGACCAAACCCAGCCGTACACCTCAGCTCAGCCTTGATGGTATAGCAAACAGCTTCAAATACAAGCTTGCAGGTGTATTAGTACGCACCACCAGCACGATGTGCAAACTGCCCAGCAGCTTGAACGGCAGCTTTAGGTACAGGTATTTTTTTAACGCATCGTATCTCACATTATTCTCATTGTTTTTAAAGTATAATGCATCCATCCTACACTTTCTAACTGCTCAGTCACTGTCATTGTATGCAAAGCGAGCAAAGAAGCTCCAACCACATGTTCGTGCATGCTCTCTTCCATCTCCCCGTCTTCTTCCCTAGGACGGCAAATTTTTGATAAACCTTTGATGGACCCAGCACAATCGTTAGCCCAATATCAGTCTGCTTATCAGCCACGCTACCAGGCACCCTTTCTCTTCAGCTGCAAAGCTGAGACTTCACGCCGCGGACACGCTGATCTCGGCCACCGCTCACAGACCTGCCCTAGTGCTGTCCCGCTGACCGCGGCCAGGCTCCCGCGTCCGTCTCCTCCCCTCTCCCAGCAAACAGCCCCAGCTCTGCCGCTGAAGAGCGCTGACTTCGGGCGGGGACATTCACTTAAGCGTCTCTTGCAACGGTGCCAAACCAGGGGTGCAAAAACCTCACCAGTTCCAAAGTGGTTTAACCCAAAGAGAGTGCATGCTATAATTAAGTCACTACTGCAGAGTAAATAGCACTTCTAGCATCGTTGTGTAAATCAAAATGTTTTTCAGGTGTGTATTACCACGCAGGTCAGAATTTTCTTTTCCGGTGGTTATCAGTTTTGCTCACCATATTTCCTGCTAAACAGAACAGCGACAGCTGCAGAAATACCTTTTTCACATATTCAGCTTCCTCAGTGATTTGGGCACAAGAGGATCCATAAAGGACGTAATTTCCCTCCGAGCCATGGTCTTCTTTTGTTATTTGCTCAGTGAGTAGCAGGGTGGTCATCACTATACGTGCGTTTGTCTGTTCTGTACAGTGAGAGAAGAGAGGGGCTTGTTTCATTACGCAATGATGAAGAGTAATTCCATTATTCCATCCCATTTAATTCCATTTCAGCTTTAAGGACATGCTGGAGCCAAGCAGGCATTGCAAGCTTAAAGCAGCAAACATTAAAGACCACTTTAAAAAAAAAAATGCAGACTCCTGATTTCCTTTTTTTTTTTTAAATGGATGGGAAGAGAGATATATTCGGACATTCTTTTTCCTGAAGATTTCAGTGACCTTTTGCTAGCAACCTACACCCCAATCCTATATTATTTCAGAAAACATGTGGCTGGAGAGCCCAGGCAGCAGATAAGTGAATAACTCACACATGCATGCAGTTTAACAAAGAACAAACCAAAACTTTCGCCATCCATCTGCAAAGTTTATAAACCAAACCCAATCGCGCCACGCACAGTAATCCCACTGCCGTCAGGGAATTTAGTCCGCGCTTGGCTCTGCGTTCCCAGCGACGACGCCAGAGCAGAACTGGTTTTAATCAGGTTCGGGAGGATTACCGCCATCCTGCTTAGATGCAAGAAGCAGCACAAAGCGTGAATGATATCATAAGTTTCAGGAGAAAAGAAAAAACAAACCCAAAGTACATGGGGGGAATAGATGGGAGACAAGAGAGAAGGTTTTTTCTCTCCCTATCAGGCGGAGAATAAAGTCCCAAGCACCTTCGTTAGGTTTGTGCTGTGCAATGGTGACATCCAGTGTCAGCTGCGCTGCTCTGAAGTGAGCGCCTGTATCTCCAGACACCCCTTCCCAGCCCTGTCCCAGGTAGGCAGGGTGCTCCCAGCTGTGCAGCAGGCAAGCTGATTTTTAATGAGCACATTCAAAGGGTCTGGAGCCAATTAAGATTAGCACGGAGGAACAATAAAGCCACTTAGAGAGCATGGAGGGTGTGGATAGGCTCACAGTGGAGGAGGCAAGATGTGGTTGTGCTTTACAGAGCTTACAGATATTTTAAGATAATACTTCATTTAGAAATGCATTTATTTTAAAACACTTCGAGGTCCTGGGGCTCATGCAGTTTAGCTCCGTAGCAGCAGTCCTGCCTGCACGGTACCGATGCTGCGGGCCAAACTCACATGTTGGTTGAGTCATCCCAGCAGCGCTACCAGGAAGATTACTCAGGCTAGCACATTTCTTAACTGGCTCATTTTCTAATAAAATATAATTGGGTGACTCGAAACATTTATTGCTGTGATGGAGGAGGAATGCCATTCCCACGGAGAGCTGCACGGAGCTGGTTTGCATAACTGCCCAGGTGGATCTGCGGCGGCTCACCCTCACCAGGGCCATCTCTATGTACCATCGCCTTGTGTCCTGGACAACAGAAGGCTAAATCAGAAATTATCTATAAGTGCAAAGAAATTTAACAGATGAGCTTTAAGCGCCCCAGGGCTACTACTTCAAACTCCAATTCTTAGGTGATTTACAAATTAAAAGAGCAGTAAAATGAAAACTCTTATTGTTTTCTTTTTTACCCTTCTCCACCTTCTAAAAGTCAGGACCATGAGCAGATGCCACCTCCCTGGCCATCACCGAGCTGCTCAGTTCTGGACGTGGGAGAGAGGAGGAAAAGCAGGGTGCACAAGAGCGAGCTACCTTTCCTACCATAGCTTCTACTTGAATAGAAAAAAGGAGGTGGATATCCAGCCAGAACCCTCGAGGGCTTTGACCTCAAGCAAAAAAAAAAATCACTCACACCAAAGGTCGTCCCCTGATTTCACAGTGCCACAGTTCATCCAGGCTGGAAGATGGTCTACAGCTCCTGACAGGAGGGTGCAGGGAGGGGGTGTTGGGCTCTTCTCCCAAGGAACCAGCGATAGGACGAGAGGAAATGGGCTCAAGCTGCGCCAGGGGAGGTTTAGATTGGATATTAGGAAAAATTTCTTCACGGATAAGGTAGTCAAGCACTGGAACAGGCTGCCCAGAGAGGTGGGGGAGTCCCCATCCCTGGAAGCGTTCAAAAAACGGGCAGAGGTGGCACTTTGGGACACGGTTTAGTCTAGTCTACCCTTGATTGGTTTAGTGTGGACTTGGCAGTGTAGGTTAATGGTTGGACTGGATGATCTTAAAGGGCTTTTCCAACCTAAACGATTCCATGATTTGATGATTCTATGATAAAGCAGAAATCCCGGACACCTACAGCCGCGGCACAGAAGAGGTTTCTCATGGGCACAGAGGATGGTTCCCAGCACCGCTGCGAGGGGTTAAACAAAGTTTGTTCTGTCTGGCTGCTGTTTTCCCTCCTGCCTGCAATCCAGCAGCTCCTGAGTCACCCAACACAAAGGCGACCCAGGATCAATTCTCCTTTCAGCTAATTCAGGCTGAAACCTCCGCCCACCCCCAGGGCTGAAGTCCTGGAATGGAAATGTTTTCCAGCTCTGAAG